GAAGGAAGATTAGTTAGACGTAACAGGTAGAAGGAAATACTCTTTAATCTATTAATTCTATGCCAACTTGAAACAGAATCAAACTCAAATAGAACCATTTTTTTCACATTTTTTGTAACCATAGGCTTTATGACACCAATCTTAAAAAAGAAAACTTTGAGTTAAAAGAAAGCTGATTTTATAAAAATGTTAATTTTTACTACTTATGAAATTTTCTGTTTGCTCACTTTGTTTCCCTTGTTCCTATACACTTATGTAACCAAGGAAGACTTAAAGCTTATGTAATCAACAATTGAAGTTTCTGAGGACATGATTTTGTGTATAAATAAAGCTTGCAAGAGACACAGGTTGTCAGAGCAGGTCAAGCCATACTGAGATGTGCTCCTCTCTGTCCTGTCTCTCATGAAAGGAAACTGAATGGTGTCCCCAGTCTGTTCCTTTTGTCCCTCACCCCTTGTGGCTCTAGCATCCATCCTCCTCCAAACCCTTCCCTCACCTGGGGCTGGACCACTTTCTCCCCCACCCTCTCTTCCTCACATCAGCCCCTCCCAGTTACCTCTTCTTGAACCCTTACATCTTCCCTCAAGTTTGTAACCACCTTAACTTTGATGAAAATTGACACATATGTGTGCATGCACAGATTTTGCACACACATACATATATTCTATTAATTCTTTTTTTGGTGTGTGTGTGTTGTTGTTGTTGTTGTTGTTGTTTCATGGCTGATCATTCTGTATTAGATAACCAATAAAAGGTCTCATCTTTGGAATAGGTGTGTTTTCATTCTCCAAGCAGTTACTGGTTGCCAATAGTTCTTTGTCTATAATGGGTTCCTGTGAAAATATTTCCCTTATACATTACCATGTCCACTTACATCACTGTTTTTCCACTCTTGTTTACGAAACCATTTCTCAGAAAGACTATTTCTCAGTAGGCTTCCTGCTGTTCTGCCTCCTCTTCTGCAGTGTTTCCTGAGCTACAAGCACAGCAGCTGTGATGCAGATGTATCTTTTGGGGCTGGGCTTCCCACAGACCATTGAACTGTTACATCATGTCCAGATGGTCTCCATTTGCTGTAAAGAGAGGTTTGTTTAGTGAGGGTTGGTAGCTGCACTTTTCTGTGGGCATAAGGATAAGATTTGAAATACAGTAAGGAATAATGTTGGTCTAGTAAATTGGCAGTAGTAGGTTATTTTCTTTTCTTTTCTTTTTTTTTTTTTTTTTTTTTTTTTGGTTATGTCCTTAGCATTTAATGGCTGAAAGTCCTCTCCAGCCCAGTGCATTGTTTACTAAGGACAGGACCTCACTGTCCCTAAGAAGCTGCCTAGAATTCCAGCATCGAGCACGGGTTTTCTCCTTTTGTGTGGATCTTAAATCCAATTAGACAGCTGTTTTTTTTGTCTCCAACAAATGAATGTCAAACAATCCATGTTGCCATAAAATGACACACTGCACTTCATGGATATGATATCTTAGTTGTGTTCTTATGCTTGAAACGGAGGCACAGTGGTCAAGGGCTTTGCAAACCCATGTGTCATTTATTTTCAAATAACCTATATTTAATTTTATTCAGTCTTCACAGTAACCATATACTGTAGAAGTTACATTAAGGCACATTAATACTTATAAGTCTCATTGTTGGTAGACTTTTTACAGCATTACCAGGCCACAGAAGAAGACAATGCAGCCACTCCCAATGAGACCTAATTGACTAGGATCAGAAGGAAGGAAAAGAAGACCTCCCCTATCAGTGGACTTGGGGAGGGGCATGCAGGCAGAGGGTAGAGGAAGGGAAGGATTGGGATGGGAGGAGGGAGGGAAGCACAGGGGGGATACAAAGGAAATAAAGTGTAATTAATAAGGAAAAAAATGTAAAAATAAATAAAAAAAGAAAAAAAACTCTTTTTTTAACATTTTTTTATCTCTTTCTCCCCACTCAGCCCCAACCCCTTCCACCATCCCAACAACAGGTAGGTGAGAGAAAGAAATAAAATATAATAAAATAAAACAAAAATGATCACATTGAGCCCAGGCAAGGCAACCGAACAGTAAGAAAAGAACTCAAGAGCAGGCACAAGAATCTGATATGCACTCCTTCACACACTGAGGAGTCCCATAAAAATAGTAAGCTGAAAGCTATAATATATACACATAAGACCTGATGTATAGCATAGAGGCCCTGTACTTGCCACATCAGTCTCTGTGAGTTCATATGTGCCTTACTTGGTTTATTTAGAGGGATTTTTCCCCCTAGTGTCTCTTAACTCTTGTTGTTAGTACCTGTACTATTGATGTTATGTTCAGGAAATCTTCTCCTGTACCAATGAGTTCAAACCTATTTCCTACTTTCTCTTCTATCAAGTTCAGTGTATCTGGTTTTATGTTGAGGGTCTTTGATTAATTTAGAGTTGAGCTTTGTGTAAGGTGGTAAGTATGGTCCTATTTGCATTTTTCCACATTCAGCCATCTACTTTGACCAGCACCAATTGTTTTTGAAGATGATGTCTTTTTTTCTAGCATATACATGTGACTTTTTTTTTTAATCAAAAATCAGGTGTTTATGGGTGTATGGATTTATATATGGATACTCAATTCAATTCAATTTATCAACATGTCTGTTTTTATAACTATACCATGCTATTTTTATTGCTATAATTTTGTAGTACAGCTTAGGATGTGGAATGATAGAACCTCCAGCAGTTATTTTATAGTTTAGGATTATTTTAGCTGTTTTGTGTGGTTTTTTTTGATGTGAAGTTAATAATTTTCTTTTCAATGTCTGTGAAGAATTCTGTTGGAATTTTGACAAGAACTGTGTTGAATCTGTAGATTACTTTTGGTGCAATGGCCATTTTCTAAATTATTTTTATTTTCTTTTTATTTATTTTACATCCCAAGGGTACCCCTTCCCTCCTCTCCTCCCAGCCCCCATCTTTGTCCTTTCTTTCTCCCTTTTCCCCCAGAAAAAGAGAGCTTTCCTCCCCCTGTATCAACCTTTCCCAACAGATCAAGTCACATCAAGACCAAACATATTTTCATCCCCTGAGGTCAAGCAAATCATTAAATGTCAGGGGCTAGCTCTCTATTGTGGGGTGGGTCTCAGGTTAGACCAATTATTGATTGGACTTTCTCTCAGCCTTTGTTTCCTCGTTATCCCTGCACAACTTGTAGGCAGATCTTCACCAACCCTACATCAGACAGAGGGATAACATCTAAAATATTTAAAGAACTTAAGAAATTAAACATCAACAAATCAAGTAAGCCAATTTTAAAATGGGGTACAGAGATAAACTGAGAATTCACAACAGAGGAATAGCTTGAATAGCTAAGAATAGCTAAGAAGCACTCAATGAAATGTTCAGTGTCCTTAGCCAACAAAAAATGCAAATCAAAATAACTCTAAGATATCATCTTATGCCAGTCAGAATGGCTAAGATCAAAAACTCATGTGACAACACATGCTGAAGAGGATGTGGAGAAAGGGGGACACTCCTCCATTGCTTGTGGGAGTGCAAAGTTGTACAACATCTCTGGAAATCAATCTGGCACTTTCTAAGAGACCTTGGAATAGTTCTACTGCAAGACTCAGCTATACCACTCCTGAACATATATCCAAAAGGTGTACTACCGTACAACAAGAAGAGTTGCCCAACTATGTTCATAGTGGCTTTATTTATAATAGCAAGAAACTGTAAACAACCTATATCCCTCAACAGAGGAATGGATACAGAAATTGTGGTACATTTACACAATAGAATACTGCTTAGCTATTAAAAACAAAGAAATCATGAAATTTGCAGGCAAATGGATGCAACTAAAAAAGATCATTCTAAGTGAGCTAATGCAGATCCAGAAAGGCCAACATGGTATGGCCAACACTCACTTATAAGTGGATATTAGACCTACAGTACAGGATAACCATACTAAAATCCACAGACCCAAAGAAGCTAAGTAACGAGGACAGCCCAAGGGAGGGTTCTGGAGTGTCACTCAGAAAGGGAAATAGAATAGACAACAGAAATGAATGATGAGAAGGATCTGGACAGGAGATGGAATAGGGACAGAAGCAAGGGTGATGATCAGATGTGGGTAGAATGGGGGTGAGAGGTCAGAGGACTGGGAACAAGAAGGGAAACTGAGGAGGGACATCTCTTTATCAAGCTGGAGGCCTGTGACAGTGTAGGCTCCTGGAAGGACGTGGGTGTGAATCTAGCTGTGGCTCCTAATGGGGGAAAAGGAGGACATGAAGACTGAAGTAACCACCTCATAGCCAGGTAGGACTAGTTGAAGGAGGGGAACAACAACCCACTGACAAAACCTGTAATCCAAAAATTACCCTGCCTACAAGGACGACCATTTTTACTATGCTAATTCTACTGATCCACAAGAATGGGAGATGTTTTCTTCTTCTGATATCTTCTTCAATTTCCTTCTTTAAAGATTTGAAGTTTTTTCATACAAGTCTTTCACTTGCTTGGTTAGAGTTATCCCAAGTTATTTTATATTATTTGAAGCTATTGTATAAGGTGTTATTTCTGAGTTCTTTCTCAGTCTTTTTGTCATTTGTATATAAGAGAGCTAGTAATTTTTGAGGTTTTTTTTTTTTTTAATCTTTCCAGGTACTTTTCTGAAATGAGTTTCTTTGTCAATGTTGGGGAAATGGGTAGTATCACTTGCAATAGGTTGGAGTATACTTAACAGTATCTCTTTTCTTCAGCAAGTTGTTCCAGATCAAGAAGCCAATTTATAACACAAAGATGCATGTATGACGATATTCACTGTGACATTTTAATGTGAGAAACAAAATCGTTGGTGGTGTGCCCATTTATGTGAGCAAAGGAGACTGCTTCATGGATAAAGCTTTATTCTAAGTTGAAATAATATGTTTTGATTGAAGAACAAATACGTTGACAGATTTAAATATGAAATAGAATAATTTGCTTTATTTGATGCCATTCAAGGCCCTTGAACATCGCTTCAACCTTAGGGGTAGACAAGAGATGGCTTCTGCCAGCAACGTTCTAAGGTGAGAATTTTACCTTCTTAGAAAGACATGTAAGGTCTGATGGTGTCTAGGGAAGACTTCCAGGTGGCAGAATTCCAACAGCTTCACCACCCTGCCATCTCCTATTCTGTCTTGTAGAAATGTCTGCCTTTATTTTTTAATCTCTCCTTAGGGTACTGTGTACAGAACCCTGTGGTTCAACTGTAGTAATATGAGTTGTTAAAATTAAAATCAGCTGTCTCTTCATTACAGAATGAGCTTCCAACTTGAACTGGTTGTGGCCGTTAGACCCCTGCTTAGGGGATTTTTGGATCCTGTAAGTTGCAGAAGCTTTCTGAACCTTGTAAGTATCTCTTATTTCCCAAGTTGTAGAGGAAGTTCCAGGAATGCAGCTTTTGTAGATTATCCCCACCATGATGCTATGACATTTTTTTAATGGTATGGCCACTTGGAGTCACTAATTCTCTAGAAAATAGCCCTTCACCCAGGCTTCTGTAAACAACCCGAATAAACTCAATGTTTCGATACTGTAAACTTACTTGCAATCATTTCTTTGATCCTTTCTGCACTGGTGCTCTGTCTAGTAGAATAGGCGTTTGTTCTCCTTTACACAGAAAAAGCCCAGAGCATTGGGCCACCTGGCCTCAGGAATGTAAGCTGAGATTTCGTGTATTCTCTGTTATCCCTCCAGCTGGCAACATCACTTTCTTTCCAGCTGCATCATGAGGCACCAGAAGAAGCAGAGCACAACTACTAAAGTCATAGGAATTGAGGATGCAGGGTCACCAAGAACCGGGTCTTTATTTGGTTAGAGTGCCTGTTTCTCTAGTGAATCACAGGGAACAGGAAGGGTGGTGAACTACTGAGTGAAAGAAACTATTAAAACATATTAGGATTAAATAATTAATCGCTTATTTAAAGTATCTAGAAATGCAGTGTTAATGAGTAGGCTAGAGCTACAGAAGGCATTTGTATGGAGTTCCGCAGTAAGAGGAGAGACACTGCATTTTGTCAAGTATAAATGGATATGCAACTTTAATACCAAGGAGCAGACTGGATCTTAGGAGGTGGAAAATTGTTAGGAATCATCAGAGTGAAGGGCATTCTGATTAAATAGACCTACAGGAATCTTGCTGTTGACCATGTGAGGAGACATAGCCTGGAGCATGGATGGAGAAAGAGGCTCCTGATTGGAGAGGGAGGACTGTCAGATCTGAAGGGTAGAGGTTTGTGCTAAAGTGACTTAATAGCATTGTTACCTGAGACAGGATGATACAAAGACTTGCACAGACAGGCTTAGAACAAGGTTTAGAGGTCTGAATTAAGATGATGCAGGTACCAAATGACTTACAGCAACGATGTCCTACTCTCTCTGGCTTAAGCATTTGTTAATGTATTTCTTGAATTACAAATACTTTGGAGAAAATTTAGATTGTTCACATTTGGTAGTTTAGGGGAGACAGGTATTGTATCTTTTTTTTCTCTACTCACATGAAAAGTAACCAAATGTTCATGAAACATTATACAGAAAAAAATGGTGTTTCTCTGTATCACTATTCTGTTGTGAGTTATTAATATTTATTATTGATTTATCTTTTAGTTAAGCAGCGGTCATTCCTAAACCAGCTGTATACCCAAATCACCACAGAGATTAGGATTTATTTAATTAACTCAGAGTACAATGCTGGGCAATAGTTATTCCATCCTAAACCTCCAAGACTGCATAGTTTCCTGCCATTCAGATTTCACCCATTATACTTGCTTTTAGTAGTATCTGAAATCTGGTTCACCTCTCCTCATTGTTCCAAGTCCTTTCCTGCTGATCCCTGCTCTCCTACTGCTCCCACATGCTTCTTTCTCCTGCCCTCCAGACCAGGAAGTCCCACCCTATTCTCACCATTGCACAGCACTGGCTGGTTGTTTAATTGACAATACAGAGAACAAATGGTGGCATGTTTACACAAACCTGAGACAGTTGATGCTTAGAATAAACATCACAGTGCAATGTCTGGATTGAAACCAGATAGTGGGGTAAAGAAGTCAGCATTTGAATGAACAAGGGTAAATTGTATACATTCCAAAAGAATATTATACCAACACTATTCTACTGATGTGATAAAACACCATGACCAAGGTAACTTGTAGAAGGAAGGGTTTGTCTTGGGCTTATGATTCTAGAGGCTTAGAATTCATAATAATAGGAGCAGCATGGCAGCAGGTTGGCAGGCGTGACATCTGGAGCAGTGGCTGAGAGCTCACATCTTGAAATGAAAACAAACATAGAGAGCACACTACAAAGTGTGTGGCTTTTAAATGACCACACTTAGTGACATAATTCCTCCACTGATGCCAGATCTCCTAAATCTACCCAAATAGTGTCACTAACTTAGGACCAAATATTTAGGTCTCAAGAATATGGAGACATCTCATTCCAACCACTACACTATACAATAGATATTATATATACTATAAAAGTTAAAAAGGAAGTTAGACACATGATATTTCAGCCTAATTTATTTCATTTAAGGAAATTATACTTTGTCTTCTGTATTTTACATTTGGGGGAGGGCACGTATGTGGAGTCCAGAGGACAACATAAAAGAGTTCCTTAAATTCAGGCCACCAGACTTTCTAGAAGATGGCTTTACCTTGCAAGATTTATCTTCAAGGCCCATTATTTACCTTTTTTAAATGCCTTCTAAGCAGCTAGTGCCACTGACCCCCATACCTACAATACTTAAAATGGGAACTTTCATGCAATTAATGTATCAAATAGAGAAAAGAGTGACAGGTCACAGGGTGCTTCTGGGTGGTGCTCAAATGAATATCAAATGAATTTATGATATGTGTAAAAAATGTAATTATGATTCTATTTTGACCAAGTAAGTAAAATATTCATTGAAAACATTATTATAGAAATGTCATGGTGATTGTTTTTCCTGGAATAGATTTCTATAATGTTATGTTTTATATTGTTGAGAAAAATCACAGTTTGGATCATTTCTGGATCTTTTTATTGAAAAGAGATTTTTCTCTCATACAATACATCATGACCATAGTTACCCCTCCTTCCACTCCTCCCAGATTCCCCCTCACTTGCCCTTCCCCTCTTCCCCAGATTCGCTCCCCCTCCATTACCTGTTCAGAAAAAATAAAAGAAGGCCTCCAAGAGATGACAGCCAACCCAAAGAGGTTAAAAAAAAATACAAGACAAGGCAAAATCCCTGATAAAATGGAGGGATTTTTCCCCCATAACAGCTCTGTTTTTAATATCCAGAAACTGTAAACAATCCAGGTGTCCCTCAACCAAAGAATAGATTCAAAAATTGTGGTACATTTACACAATGGAATACTAATCAGCTATTAAAAACAAGAATGTCTGAGCAGAGGTTCTAGGTTATATCCATACATGGTCCTTGGTTGGAGTATCAGTCTCAGAAAAGACCCCTGTGCCCAAATATATTTGGTCCTTGTGAAGCTCCTATCCTCTCCATGTCATACTAACTTCCTCTTCTTTCATATGATTCCCTGCACTTTGACAAAGGTTTGGTTATGAGTCTAGTAAGGGGAACAGGGACTATTTCTGACATGAACTCAATGGCAGGCTCTTTGACCTCCCCACCCCCCAAGGGAGGAGCAGCCCTTCTAGGCCATAGAGGAGGACTTTGCAGCCAGTCCTGAAGATACCTAATAAAGCAGGGTCAGATGAAAAGGGAGGAGGTCCTCCCAAATCAGTGGACTTGGAAAAGGGCAGGGAGGAGATGAGGGAGGGAGGGTGGAATTGAGGGGAAATGAGGGAGTGGGATACAGCTACGATATAGAGTTAATAAAATGTAACTAATAATAATAACTAAAAATAAAATAAAAAAGGAAACAAACAAACAAGAATATCATGAAATTTGCAGGCAAATGGATGGAACTAGAAATCATTATCCTGTGAGGTGACCCAGACCTAGAAAGACACAAATAGTATATTCTCACTTATAAGTAGATATTAACCACAAAGTACAGGTTAACCATGCTACAATTCACAGACCCAAAGAAGCAAAGTAACAAGGAGGTCCCAAAGGAAGATCCTTGAATCTCACTCAGAAGGAGAAATAAAATGGAAAATTGAAGTAGATGGAGGTTATAAAACTAGGTGGAAGATGGGGTTGGGAGGTGTATTTTCTTCTATCTAAAACGTTCTTACATCTCTTTATCTCACATTTTACCATTGAGGTTTGTGAAATGCCCCTTAATTTAAATCTCAAGATGGACACTGGATTTCCATAAGATAAAACCCAGAGAGAGCAACTGAAGGAATCCATATTTCTCATTAACCCTGCTCCATTTATTAGCAAAGCCTTTTAATAAATGATTAATATATCATGAAATGGTTGCTAAAGACATGAGAGGATAAATATCTCTGAACGAAGAGACTAGGCAGGATGCACAGCCAGCATCTTGGGAGACATTCACCTAGTCCTTTCATCCCATACCACCCAAGCATTTACCCTTGACTAACTGTTCTTTGTTTCCAGGCATCCTTCGCCTAACTATTCTCTTTGCTTAACAAATTTTACTTAACTTTTTAATGTGTATGTATGCTTTACCTGTACTACTTTTGTGTCTACTGCTCAAAGAGGCAAGAATAGGATATTAGATTTTCTGGAGCTTTTAAGATGGTTGGGTCCTGGGAACTGAATTCTGTTCTTCCACAAGATCAGAAAATGTTCTAAATTGCAGTCATTTTGCTAGTCCCTCCTTAACTATTTTTGTGATAGCCACCTGAATCCAACCCAGACATTGGGGAAGTATTCTAGGGTCTGTACTCCCACCAGGAGGCATTACACTTGAATAATCTGACTCATATGAGTCCAGAGTATTTCTTATTTAAAGTTAAAACATGCTTAGACAGAAAATCCACTCAAAATACCTGGAAACATTTTTTTTTCCTTAAACACCCCATGAAGCACAACATCAAGTACTAAATGAGCCAAAGCCTCAAGGTTCATTCCCAACCTTCCTCAAAAAGAGGCCTTTGCACTTCTCCCCCATTGTCCACCATGGCAACCCACACTCGGTCCTTCAGGACAGGGTGATATCAGATTTCTGTAAATGCCTAGAGCCCTACAGCCTCGGGCCCAAAGCTGTCATCAACACAGCCAATCATAAAGACATTAGGATGGATGGGTGGGGCTTAGTAGCCACAGATTAGTGATTTAAAGACTGAATAGTGTGCAGCTGGGCTAGACTGTGGATTCCAAGGGACCTCTGAAGAGCTGAGTCAGCAGAGTGCACCAGCACTGCATTGGACATCTCAGGTAAGGTCCTGGCTCTTCCAAAGTAGATTGGGGATGGGCAGGGCGCCCTGCAGGGACTCCCTGGAGAATGAGGAAGACCTATTACAAAGGAGAAAAAAAAACTTACCTTCAGGAGCGTTGGTGTAGAGAAGCAGAGGAGGATGAGTGGAGGATCCGAAGAGCCTATTGGGCCCCTTAGGCAAACAAGTTCCTACTAGGTCCTTGAGAGCACAGTCTGAACCCAGTCACAGGGCGCGCTAGTTGGTCCCCTGCACAATGGCACCCATGCCCTGTATGTCCCATTTAGTTAGAGTCATTTTTCCCCATATCAACAGAATTTAAATCTCTGTTCTCTTCTGGCCTGTGCAGAAGAAATACCAATAAACATGGCCCTGACTTGGCATCTTCTGGTGGAGTTAAATAGAAGACCTGTGAGGTCTTGAGCTGAGAATCCTGGGAGCGGTCTTCTTTTTTACCTCATCACACTAATGGTTCTGGCTTCTAGAGGCAAGACCTTATGAACCCCTTCCTTTTTGAGGCATTGAGTGGGGACTCAAGAGGCACAAGGACAACTATGAGTCAGAGGGATTAGTAGATGTCTTTCCTATGTTCTCCAGGAAGGACAGGTAAACTGTTATCATTCAAGAGAGGAGTATCCAAGACATGGGGTAACATGGCAGAAAGATGTCCAATGTCCCTCAGCTCTTGAAGTTCCCTTAGTCTGCACAAACTCTAGGACAGCTCTGCCTCAGTCCTTAGTTGCAGGTTTAACTTTTGAAATCATGAGGTATATGAACATTTGTCTGAAAACTGTCACACTATTTACTGCTTCCTTCCCTATAGCCATGAGCAGCTACTACTAAATAGCTCCATCTACTTTCTTCAAACAAACCACATCCTTGGCTTTTTCCACATTGTTTGGATAAATACTTGGAATAGTTCAAACAGTCTTGATACACCATGGATGCCTTAATTTCTCAGTAAAAAAGAAAAAAAAAGAAAAAATAGCTTTGAAATACTTAGACTGAGATTTCTCCTTTTTTCCTCTAGGTAGACATGACTCGTGCTGTCTTCCTAGTCATCCTGTGCCTAGGAGTGGCATCAACTGCCCTATCTCCTGACCCTACTATGGATGCTGAATTGAAAAAGCAGAAGATAAGTGATAAGAAAGCTGACAGGCTGGTTGGTAACATGGGAACTGTCCAAAGCAATTTCAGAGGGAATGGCCTTTGCTGTTAGGAGTACATAAACATAAAAGAGGCCATAGGGGTCAACCATCACCCATGAATTGCCTAAAGTTGTGCAACTATGAACACAGGGTATCCTGCATTTCTGAAATTCAGGGTGTGGAGAATGGGTGGCTGTATGTTCTGAGATCCCTCTCCATGGCTCCTCTTGACCTGTGACAGAAAATCTACTTGGTCACCTTGTGTGTGGGATTCATATAAAGCAAATACTAGCACTTATGTTTATTTCTAGAATGAAGAACACAGAAGAGCCATGTGGGATGAGTTTATGAAGAAGATTGAACTGCACAATAGGGAAAATGGCCAGGAGAAGAATGGCTTCAAAGTGGATATGAATGCCTTTAGTGACCTGGTGAGTGACACTTGAATGGCTTAACTCGGTGCTTGTTCACTTCAGATATTTTAGTTAGTCTCTTGGTTTTCAATGTTTTATTTGCTTTTTCCATAAAGACTAATGAAGAACTGAAGAAACTAATGACTGGTATTTTATACCCAATGTTTGGAGAGAAGGAAAGAATGCAAATACGGCCAGTTGATGACCTCCTTGAAATAGAGGGTTTGACAGAGGCCGGTGATATGTTTCCCGTGGAGAATAAGGTATGACAGTATCACATTCCTACTCTCAACTGCCCATGGGGAAGCCAGGAGGGAACTGAAGTCCTCGCTTATGTCAGCTGTGGAAAAATATTCAGTTTACTATGTGACTAAGTGTGAAGAGTGAAAAAGTTGATATTTGGTGACAGCCTTTCATTCTCACTCAGGGTAGATATGCTGCAGGTTGAGCTTTAAGCATGGCTAGTGCCCTTGAAGGAAAGATGTTCCAGGGGAGGTACTGTGATAAAGCCACAATGCTGCATTCTTTCTAATTAATGCCACCTGTGCTTTGCTTGCAGACAGACTAACATGGATGGCAATATTGGTTTAGGCAAGGAGTGAAGCAACCACTGTGCCTTTGTTTCAAGAGCCTTCTGTCTCAAGATGGGAGCGACCTGATGGTGAAAATCAAGATCTAAACTGGGAGAAGAGGAAGCAGAAAGATCTGGGGGACTCCCCATCTCAGTTTCCAGCCCATGCTGTATGAGAGCCTACACTCAAGACACTTAAGACCCACACTCTGATGTGAACTCGAAGGCAAACTCACATCAATAAAACCTTACCAGTGGTTTCTCTCATGCTCTCAACTCTTTGTTAATGATTCCCAGAATGATTTTTAAATTTAACCTGAAGAAAGAATATAGAAACTTATGTCTTTACAATAAAGCTTTATTTAAAATGCAATATTCTGGTTTCTATTTTTCTGGTAGTAAATTTTTATGTGGTTAACACACAGTGTTGCTTGAAGGCATAACTGACGTTTGATGGTGTTATGGCAGGAAGTGTGAGTAACCTTTTCCTCAGAGTCAGCATTCCATCCTTGATTAAGCTTTGTTTGCAGGGCTTTAGGTGCATTCTATCGGCAATGACCTGAAAGTCTATTTGAAATTTTCTAAAATTTGATGATTTCAATTGACATTAATTTTGCAGGTGAAAATTGTTTGCATTCAGTGCAAAAAGGTGGTTCCTGATTCTCTTACACTGCACTGCTCCTGTGATGTGAACCTCTTTCTACTTCACTTGCCCGTCCCCTTTCCTTCCTACAAATGCTCCTTCCTCTTGCTCTCTTCCAATTCATAGCCTCTTTTTTCATTAATTGTTGTTACATGTGTTCCAAAGTCTGTATAGTGCTAATTGTATATATGTTTTCAGGTCAAACTTTTGATATTGAAAAACCAATTATTGAGCTCTTCCCTAGGGAAAAACTATCTTTCTCTCTCTCAGCATTCCTGACCTGTTACTGTCTGTATGTATCAATTTTCTGCTTATATTTTCATCCAATTTGACTTGGAGAGAACATATACATTTTTTAAAAGAAAGTATCCATCTATTCATCCAGCTCTGCCTATAACAAGCATCACAAAGTATTCAAGTCTCAATTATCAGACAAACAAGAATTCAGTAAAACTCCGGAACACATCAAAGGAAAATGGCCAGGTATATGCTCTTTTACCTTTTTTATGTGAGATATCAAAATAGAAAGAAACTTCTGAACACATGCAGAAATTTATATTCTCTGTATTTTCTAAAACAAAGCAACTGTAGTCCTTAATTTTTGTTAAATCCTTTTTGTGATCATAGGCCCAGCTGTGCTAGTCAGTGTAATCATGAGGTCCACATATCAATTTCCACATGTCCAGTCAAACCCTGTAGGCCACCTAGCTTGGAATGCATGCAGCATCTGCTCTTCGGTTTGGGCAGCTCTAGTACTTTTTCTAAACACTGTGAAGCCCTGCACTGAAACACTGATGTTCACGCAAATGCCTCTGTCACCTCTGTTCCTTGCTGGTTATTTCATGCTCTCTGAAGATGCTGCTGTCTGCCAAATGCTGAGTTTCAAGCAAGGCAGACACAGACAGATACACACTACTTGAAGCTTCTGATGTGCTGTCAGCACCTACTTCACAGTTCGTAGGCTCCCTACAGATACAAAATCTGAGGTGGAACTGTGAGATGCATTAGCTGTTCCCATTGGTGTCATCCTGCCATGATTTTTGTTCTCTAAATACTGTTAATTAACGAAAACCAAACATTCTGTGAGTCCTAGGAGTCTCAGAAAAGCCACATCTTATATGACACAGCTTGGGCCTGGGGTCTGGTTAGTTCCCCAACCATGGTTTCCTGCTTGTAGTATCTGACTCACTAGTCAAGCTGGCCGGTGACTCTGCTCTGTGAGAGAAGCTGAGGCTCCAGGGAAGGATTAGCCAGTGCTCCAGGCAGGAAAGTGCAGGGCCAAAGCCTGCTCTGCTCCTATTCCACTGATGGCCTTTGTTAGTTGCTTTTAGGAGGGACTGGACAGCACAGACCTGGTTTTCACCTATGGACAGAAGCTGCAGCACTCCAGGTGGGAGCAAAGACAAGGAAGGTATGCAGGCCCTAGATCCTGTTGACTGATGCTCCAAAAACATTCTCATAGCTCTGCTCTTATTTCTTAGGTTGTATTATTTGTTTTGTTTTCTTGTCTCTTTCTTTGGGGTGGGAGGTTGAAGGGGTATGATAATAATAGAATTCCATCATTGCTCCTTTACCTTTTTTCCTTCATACCCTCAGAAATACCTTTTTTATTCTTTTTAAATTCTATCCTCTTTTTCATTAATTGTTATTACATTCACATATGCATATACACATATATTCCTAAATATAACCTAGTCGGTGTGCATAATATTACTTGTGTGTATGCTTTTGAGGCTAGTCACGAGGTACTGAACAACCCCTTGGTCTCTATGTTTTTGAGGCCTGATTAGTGCTGTATTCCTGCTCATCCTTGCTTGGTAATGGCTTCAGCTGCTCCATCTGATCCCAGTTTGGATGCTGAATGGGAAGAATGGAAGATGAAATTTCGAAAAGCCCACAGCCCAGTTGGTAACATGGACATTGTCCAGAAGGATCTCAGAAAGAAGGGCTCTTGCTGCTGGGAGTCTGTGGGTGTAACTGTGGCCATAGAGACCAAGCATCACAAGGCCTAAAGGCATGCACTATGAACTCCAGGTGGTGAGCTTTGCTGTTCCTGTGGGTGGAGAGCACAGCTGGCTGCAGTGTCCTGAGATCCTCATCCTGGCTCCTCTTTCCCTGTCACGACACACCTGTCACCTTGCATGTAGAGTGAATTTGAGAATACACTATCTGTTGTATTTTTCTAGGATGAGGAAGGACACAGAAGAGCCGTGTGGGAAGATAAACAAGAAGACTGAGGAGCACAATGCAGAAGATGAGCAGGGCAAGACCAGCTTCTTGATGGGCCTGAATGAATTTAGTGACATGATGACTATCACATGAATTGTTAACTTTATGTTTCTTCGCTACAGATTTTTTCTAGTACCTGGTTTGTAATGTTTTATTTTGTTCTGTTTTTATGAAGACTCATGAAGAATTCAGGACAAATTGCTGTGGAAAATCAACGTGTACAGAAGAAATGGTTCGTGCTGGCTTCCCTGAGTCTGGGGATTTGGGAAAGAGCAGCTCTGTGCCATGAGTGGAGGATCAGAGATGACGGAGTCACATTCCCACTTGCAAATGTCCACATGAAGCCAAGAGGGAACTGAAGTCCACACTTGTGTCAGCTGTGGAACAACATGAAGCCACTGTTTGACTAAGTGTTCTTCTTTATAAAATGTGGAGAGAGTTTATATTGGGGTGTGGTTGACAAGCTTTCCTTCATGATCAGAGTACTGTAGTTTGTCTTTATACATGGTGACCATAAAGGAAAGATGCTCAAGGGAAAGTAGAGGGACAGAGCCATTGTGCTGCAGTCTTTCTAATTAATGTGATATGTGCTTTTATTTCAGCCGAGTAACAGTTATTGTGACTTCATTGGTAACAATAAGATAGCCTAGGAGTGAAGAAATTACTCTGTCTTGCCTCAGGAGCCTTCTGCCCTGAGATATGAGCTGCACAGTGATGAAGAGGCTGGACTAGGAGAAAAACCAGCAGGGGCTCCCTATGCAGTGTCGAGCATGTGCTGTATAAACTATAACACTGAATTCATGTAAGATCAACACTATGATGTGAACTCTGGGGCATATTTATACTAAAAAAAAATACCAATTCTTTAATCCATGCTCTGAAGTCATTTATATAAATGATTCTCACAAGGATTTTTAAATTTTGCTTTATTAAAAACAATATAAACCATACTACATTTTAAACTGTTTCTTTCTGGTTTGTTTCAGTAAGTTTTTATGTGTTTATACACATAATTCTGCTTGAAGGTATGGCTGGCTGTAGCATGGGTGTTCTAAGAGAAAGGCTGTATAGTTCTCTCATTATACAGTCAAGATTCCATCCTTGTTTGAGCTTGTTTCCAGGGTTTTTGGCAGTGATCTGAAAGTCTGTATGGAATTTTCTGGAATTCCAAATTTTTCATTCCCATGAATTCACCAAATATAGCTGGCAACTGGAAAGCTTTTCAGTGCAGAGATGGTGCCTTATAACCACCCTGTTCCTGGGCCATGAGTCTCATTTTATATGAATAAATATACCAATGACATGTACTAGCTGTACTATGATCACATAGAACCCATCTACCCAATGAGGTCTGTGGTCACAAGAGTGCAGTCTGCATTCAAGTGACTTTTTCATAATCCAACTGAGCCCAGTCATGCAAAGGTACATGGCTGTCTCTAACTGCAAATTGCATTCAGTCCAGCCTTAAAAGTCATCATATTTCTGGAAATGGTCAATCTCCAAAGTCCAATGTTTTTCTTAGACTCAAGGAAGTCCATTAACTGTAACTACCTATAAAACTAAATGACAGCACATTACAGGCTTCCAACAGACAAGTGAACAGAGTATGAATTTCCATTTCGAAAGGACACAGCAAGGAACATCCAAAGCAAGACAAAAACCCATCAGGAAAAGCATCATCACTGAATTTCACAGTTCACACAGATGGCTGAGTGCTTTAGTAGTCCCTGTATGATCCCTGTAAGACCTGTAAACTCTTTTGTAGGCAGTCTCTTTCCATAGGTTTAGCACTCTTTGGTGGCTAGCCCATGGTTTTGGCCCTCCACCTTCTGTGAACTCTATTCCTAGTTAGATTTCACTTCACAGATCCATGAGTGGCCCTTCTGAGCCTGCTTGCCCATGCTCTGACCTGAGAACAAGGGACTACCTCAGTGCCTCTCAGGATCCATGACTCAGCAAACTGTGGGGTTTCCATGCCTGTAGAACCGGTTCTTCACAAATTACACTGCCTGATTTTTAGATACCTGAGGGTAAATTTTCATACTTTTGGATCTTAAGTGCATCACTGTCTGTGTGCTGATACTAGGAATTCATTTTCCTAGGGAATAGTTTTCCAAAACACCCTAAAGATGCCAAAGCCAACCCATCCCAACTCTCCCATTGTTAGAGGCACACATATGAATCTGTAGTGTAGCCACTCCCTTTTTCAGGATCTTAAGACTCAGCAATGACCCTTACAAAAACAAAACAAAACAAAGAAAGAAAGCAGAGAGTTATATAGCCAAGGTCTTGAAGGTGGGTTACAAGGTAGACTGGAGGTATTCAGTCAGTAACTTTCCTGCTAACTTTCCTACATTAATCTCTGGAGCTCTTCACCTCTTCTCTTTTCTGTATTCGTCTGCCTCTTCACTAGCTAAAGACAAACATGAGAATGTGAGATGTACTTTACATTCAAACCACAGCAGGAAGTAACACATGCACATTCATTACAGTTCCTCTCTGTGATTGAGTGTTATCAAGCAGGATCAGCCTCCTTATATAGAGCATACATTCCTGGCAGAGAATATGTAACTGAGATGTTTATACACAGCTGTTTTTGCTAATTTCCCAAAGCTGTACACATGTCACTCCACATTGCTTTCCTCATGGTGCCAGTTGCATGCCAGGGAACCATGAGTAATACATCTCCCAAAATGGAAGTCATCTCTTACACCTTGATACACAATACTTTTCTCTGAAGGCCTGCCTGAGGCTACTCCCAGCCCTCTGTCATGCAGCAAGCTATTTAATAAATGATTCTTACTTTTCTGGCCTAAAGTGTGAATGTATTCACCATCAACAAATCCTTTTGTTGGTTTCCTAAACTTATATCTTTCTTCTATTGCAGTGTCCCCCTTCTTATTAAATGACCTTGCCATGCCACCCTGCCAGAAACACTTAAACCCAGGTCCAACACATCATAGCGTCCATGATTTTGTCTTTAATACTCTGGTTTTATTTGCTTAATATAATAATCTCCAGTTTCATGGGTTTCCTACAAATGTCATTTTTTTTCTGTGTCTGAAGGAAAATCTATTAAGAAAACATATTGTGGCTTTATTTGTAATTCATTCATCATTTCATGGATGATGAATGTGTAGGCTAATCCCATCTTTTAGATATTGTGAATGCCACAGCACTGAACACAGGCATATGAATGTATCAGGTATGTTCACTTAGCTGCATTTCAGATATAATAATGTTTCTTGAGAAACCTGCATGCTGAATTCCCAGTGGCCACAGTCTGCATTTCCATTAGCAGTGGACACTGACTCTTTCCTCACACATTCTACTTGTCATGCCCTTTGATTTCCTGACAGCATCTACTCCAACTCTTGTAAGAGACTCTCAAAGCGTTTGAATATGCGTTTCCC